TTGCACAAACAAAAAAGCCTATGAAAAAGGTACCAGGGGCATCTCATGGGGCCCTCTACTGACCCCAGGCCCTCAGGCAGTGCCCGAGTTTCCAAATGATCAGTCTGCCCCTGCTCTGGAGGATGTAAGAGGGCACTCTGGAGGATGTAAGGGGGCACTGTGAAGGCGCTGATTATGGGAGCTCTCTGCAGGCAGTAAGCGGGTACCCTAGAGGTACTAAGAGGGCACTCTGGAGGAACTGATTAAGGGGCACTCTGGAAGAACTGGTTTAAGGGGGTACTCTGGGGGCACCATGTAAGCAGGGACTCTAGAGACTGTAGGGGGTTTTGATGTAAAGGGGCACTCTGGAGGCTGTAGAGGAGCACTCTGGAAGCACTAAGGGGGCACTCTGGAGGATGTAAGGGGGCACTCTGGAGGCATTAAGTGGGCACTCTGGAGGCAGTAATGGGGTACTCTGGAGGATGTAAGAGGGCACTCTGGAGGATGTAAGGGGGCACTGTGAAGGCGCTGATTTTGTGAGCTCTCTGGAGGCAGTAAGCGGGTTCTCTGGAGGTACTAAGGGGGCACTCCGGAGGAACTGATTAAGGGGCACTCTGGAAGAACAGGTTAAAGGGGGCGCTCTGGGGGCACCGATGTAAGGAGGGACTCTGGAGGCTGTAAGGGGGTTTTGATGTAAAGAGGCACTCTGGGGACACAGATGTAAGGGGGCACTCTGGAGGCTGTAGAGGAGCACTCTGGAAGCACTAAGGGGGCACTCTGGAGGATGTAAGGGGGCACTCTGGAAGCACTGATGTAGGAGGGCACTGATATAATAGGGTACTCTGAAGGCTCTAAAGGGAGACATAAGGGAATACTCTGAAGGATGTAAGGGGGCCCTCTGGAGGCACTAAGAAGCACACTGGAAGATGTGGGATAAAATTGGGGGGAGAGTCTGGACGTGCAGTGTGAGACATGAGCACCACCAGGCAGGTGAGTTGGGACGGAGAGCAGGGCTCTGCATTGTGATGTTATCCCGGGCTGATGGCAGGCAGAACTCAGGCAAACTCTCACGGCAGAACTCACGGCAGAACTCACGGCTGGGACTATCATAGACATATAAAAAGTCGGGGCCTGACTCCACCCACCAGAGTTCACTTCTATCTAAAATGTCACTTTTGGGTGGACGGGCCCTTTAAGCGCCTCATTCTTCATTTAAAATGTCAAAACGTTATGAAAAGTCGCCGAAAGCGATTAATAAACAAAGAGCAATTATTTCCGCACATAATCCGTCTATTACTAAAACAAATACAACATTGTGTGAGAGACAATACCAATCCCGGCAAATGGAAACCAACACAACAGCCGGAGAACGGCGCTAATTGCTGAGCGCTCTTCTCTTCCCGCAATATTTGTCTTTCATCGTTCTGTTAATTGTTTAATTTATAATCAGCGGATTTCCATCGTTATGAATTAAAAATAAAATATTCTGCCCTAATTAGTCCTTGTAATGTTTATGAGTGAACTCCTCCAGGAGAGGCCTCAAATTCGCTGTCAGAACGCTTGCTTTACGCAGAGCCCGCCTCATTAATTTGTTATCACGCCATTTCCACCGCCAATAATATTCCAGGAGTTTCAGAGTCAGCCAATGGAGAGATTCCACTGAATTCAGTCACTTGGTGCAACCAGCCAATGGGATGCATCTTCTCTGTTGTGCTTTTGGTCATCACCCTCCACTAATCTCCCAGAGTGCCATTTACTTCTAAGATCTCCGCCTTTAATTAATTTGCATAAATAGATAATTTATATGTTACAATATACAGCAAAGAATTATTAATGTTTAGAAAAGCTCCGCCTTTTATCATAAAGCTAGACGTGCGCAAACATCAAATTTACGTTTCTTTTCGGATGCATTCGTTAACTGAAGAATATTGTTTCGGAATTTGTTTTGTATCTTCGGCATTCAGAATGTTTCATTTAAAATAGTTGGTTGTTAAGGAGCAGGCAGCAGCCGCCACGTCCTTAACAACCATGACTCATCTGCTCTCAACAGGGGCGTCCCTAGGGTTGGTGTCACCCGATGCCGGAACACTTGGTGACACCCCCTCTCTCTCTCCCTCTCTTTCTCTGCCCTCTTCCCCCCCTCTCTCTCTGCCCTCTTTCTCCCCCCTCTCTCTCTGCCCTCTTCCCCCCCCCACTCTCTCTCTGCCCTCTTTCCCCCCCCTCTCTGCCCTCTTCCCCCCCCCCCTCTCTCTCTCTGCCCTCTTTCTCCCCCCCTCTCTCTCTCTGCCCTCTTCCCCCCCCCACCCCCACTCTCTCTCTGCCCTCTTTCCCCCCCCTCTCTCTGCCCTCTTCCCCCCCCCACTCTCTCTCTGCCCTCTTTCCCCCCCCTCTCTCTGCCCTCTTCCCCCCCCTCTCTCTCTGCCCTCTTTCTCCCCCCCCTTCTCTCTCTCTGGCCTCTCTCTCTGCCCTCTTTCTCCCCCTTTCTCTCTGCCCTTTTTCTCCCCTCCCCCCCTCTCTCTCTGCCCTCTTTCTCCCCCCCTCTCTCTGCCCTCGTTCTCAACCCTCTCTCTCTCTGCCCTCTTTCTCCCCCCTTTCTCTCTCTCTGCCCTCTTTCTCCCCCTCCCCCCCTCTCTGCCCTCTTTCTCCTCCCTCTCTCTCTTCTCTCTCTCTGCCCTCTCCCCCCCCCTCTCTCTCTGGCCTCTCTCTCTGCCCCCCTCTCTCTCTGCTCTCTTTCTCCCCCCTTCTCTCTCTCTGCCCTCTTTCTCCCCCGTCTGTCTCTCTCTGACCTCCCCCCCCTCTCTGCCCTTTTTTCTCCCCCCTCTCTCCCTGCCCTCTTTCTCCCCCCTTCTCCCTGCCCTCTTCCCCCCCTCTGCCTTTTTTCTCCCCCCGCCCTCTTTCTCCCCCCCCCCTCTCTCTGCCTTTTTTCTCCCCCATCTCTCTCTCTCTGCCCTCTTTCCCCCCCCCTCTCTCTGCCTCCCCCCCCCCTCTCTCCCCCCCTCTCTCCCTCCCTCCCCCCCCCCCCTCTCTCTCCCCCCCTACCTACTACATGAAGCTGCAGTGCTGTCACCGGGGTCCGGGGATTACACTGACCTGCTGCATACTCTGCCCGCCCCTCCAGCTCTCAGACTTCAGCCCCCATGGCATTGATGTGGACCCGGCCCTCTGCTGAAACTCCGAGGAGGAGAGGTGTCCGAAGTGCCTGCTTTACTTTCCGTCCCCTCAATGCTTGCTTATTTCAGCAGCGGCACATCCAGAGATGGACTGAGCCTCTCATGGGGCCCTATAGTGACCCTGGGCCCTCAGTCAGTCCGCCCCTGGTGGAGCAGGTCTGGTGTCACCCCATGCAAAAGGTGTCACTTGGTGCAGCGCACACCCCCCCCCCCCCAGCACCTGCCTAGGGACGCCCCTGGCTGTCAATGGGATTCCCCGGAGACATCGCAATGCAAACAAAACAAATGTCGGCATTAAACATTTAAAAAAAACCTGCACATGGGGGGACCATCCCCAATCCCTTCCTGGCCCTTTAGGTCTGGTATTGATTTTGAGGGGAACCCCACGTCAAAATGTTTTTAAAAATGCCTTGGGGTCCCTCCCAAAATCAGGAAGTGGCTGTCATTCGGCGAGTGTCCCGTGACGGGACTGGTTGCGTTTTGGTCTTCGTCAGGAGAGGTTGCGTTTTGGTCTTCATCAGGAGAGGTTGCGTTTTGGTCTTCATCAGGAGAGGTTGCGTTTTGGTCTTCATCAGGAGAGGTTGCGTTTTGGTCTTCATCAGGAGAGGTTGTGTTTTGGTCTTCATCAGGAGAGGGTGCGTTCTGTGGGCGGTAGGAGCTTTTCGCTTTCGCGCCGGTCGGCGTTCATTGTGATTGACGCTGGATTTACATCACCATTTTTAGTTTTTGTATCATTGTCAGAAACTGTCTTTGTGTTTTAATTACTTTTGACTTTTTGTTGGTGAATGAGTAGGGGTACTTTGTATCCCACATTCATTCACATGGGGGAGGGGGCGGTATCTGGGGGCTTCCTTGTTAACGGGGGGTTTCCAGATTCCAATAAGTCACCCCCCTCCGCACCCCTACTACCACTGGCCAGGGTTGTGGGGAAGAGGTCCTTATCTTGTCCTCATCAATATGAAGACAAGGTGCTTTGTGGGGGAGCACCCCCCAACACTCCCACACCCACCAGGGCAGGGTATAGATTTTAGGGGGACCCCATGCCATTTTTTTTTCAATTTTGGCGTGGGCTTCTCCTCAAAATCTATCCCAGACCCTATGGTAAGATTTGGGGAGGGGCCTATGCTGTTTTTTTTCAAAATGTTTTAATGCCGGCACTTTTGATTACATTCTGCTGTCAGTAGAGTCATGTATGTTGTGGTCATCCGCTCCTCAGCCAGCAATTCACAATGAAACCAATGAAATAAATGCATTTGTTAATGTTCTTATAGTTATTTGTTTCGGATTCATTGACATTTGTTACTGTCATTCGAAAATTCAGAGACATCCTCATCTCCGAAAATCAAACTTTGAGTTCCAGCCAGTAACTTTGCCTAGAATGAGATGATGTCATCAGTCTGCTGCAGGCAGGAGGAAGCATTTTCCTCAGTCTCCCCTCCCCCAGTGATCAGACTGTACACTGTAACTTTTTTAGAAGGAGGAGGCGGCATTTCCTCAGTCTCCCCTCCCCCAGTGATTGGACTGTACATTGTAACTTTGTAGAAGGAGGAGGAGGCATTTCCTCAGTCTCCCCTCCCCCCGAGTGAATCAAATGAATGAAAAGGGCGGGGCCAGGGAGAGTTAGGATGGGGAGAAAAGAACTAGACGATGCTAGATGTCCTCCAGCCAGGAAATGAGGCGGAGCTCTATCTGATTGCCTGCAGCTTCTAATGCACATTGTGAGAAGCTCCCAGTGTGCAGTGACATCAGAGGAAGCCATTTCAGTCCAGGAGAGGAGCCGGTACACCTGTGAAAGACTGAGGGGAGGAGTCAGTACACCTGTGAAAGACTTAAGGGGAGGGGCCAGTACACCTGTGAAAGACTGAAGGGGAGGAGCCAGTACACCTGTGCAAGACTGAAGGGGAGGGGCCGGAACACCTTTCAAGACTGAAGGGGAGGAGCTGGTACACCTGTGCAAGACTGGAGAGGAGGAGCCAGTACACCTGAGCAAGACTGAAGAGGAGGAGCTTGTACACCTGTGCAAGACTGAAGGGGAGGAGCCAGTACACCTGAGCAAGACTGAAGGTGAGGAACTGGATCACCTGTGCAAGACTGAAGTGGAGGAGGCAGTATACCTTTGCAAGACTGAAGGGGAGGAGTCGGTATACCTGTGCAAGACTAAAGGGGAGGAGCCAGTACACATGTGAAAAAACTGGAGGGGAGGAGCCAATACACCTGTTCAAGACTGAAGGGGAGGAGCCGGTACACCTGTGTAAAACTGAGGGGAAGGCTGAAGGGAGGATCTAATAGCAAGCATAGCTCCCCCTCTTTTTTAACACCATCTTGCCCCCTCCCTGGGGTCCCTTTATGTGGCCAGGACAGGCTGATTGGCTGTCACAGTAGTCACATGATCTGGAGCTGGTCTCTCTGGCTCCCAATCATTGGAGCGTAGTCTATGACAGCTCCACCATGCTCAGAGAGCGCAGTCAGCACGACCTCAGCACTGAAACTCCGGCTGTCCATGGGCACATATCTGTGTCATGTGGTTAATAAATCCCAGGGCCAGGATGGACTGATTGGCTGTCACAGTGGTCACATGATCTGGAGCTGTCCAGCTGGCTCCCAATCATTATTGGAGACCAGGAGCAGTCCATGACAGCTCCACCATGAGTGCGCAGTCACCACGACCTCAGCACTGAAAGTTCGTCCTTCCATGGGCACATACGTGTGCTTTGTGGACATTGTAGCCTGCCCCATCTGGCAGCTCACATACGTGTTACATGGGCAGCAAGAGGTTAAAAGCAATATCCTGATCTCCTTCTTCCCATCAGAGCGGAGTTTTCCCGATTCCTCCGGCACGTCTCCGGTTGTCACCGCTCCGGCGTCTGGTTTTTGTTTTACAAAGCGCAGAGATGAATTGCGGCGTTGTCTGTCTGTCGTATTTAAGATGCGATCTGTTTATTACTCTTCATGTCAAGCTATCAGTTACCATCCGACTAAACGTCCTCCCCGGTGGCGTGACAATTTGTCGCGTGTTTTACATAAGATGCAAAGCGCTGCGAGGTGAAATTCATTGAAATTCCGGAAGGATCCGACGCCGGAGAAAAGAAGAAGGAAATTATTAGTGTTGCTCGGCTGTGAGCGGGAGCAGCGGGGGTGATGACAGTCAAGGTGTCTTCTTTGTTTCATTTCTCGTCTTCCCCGCTGCGTACAAATATGTTTGACTCTCACGGAAAAGCGTTTTTTTTTCCTCTGCGCAGGTGCAGCCAATTGGAATCTACTTATTAAAATATTACACAGAGACGTGCGCACCTGAACGGCGCTGACGGGGCCCCGCTGAGCGCCAAAAAAAAATCCTACTTTGTGTATTAACCATAAACACATACGATTCCTTCCTGTCCTTCAACTGTCCTTTGAGGGGCGGGGCTCATTGGAGGGTTGGTTGGCGGTTAGCCGTTTATAACCTTTTATAAATATGTAAAGAGGCATCAAACAGGGAGGTTGTAGCCGGGATCTCAGTGCTTCCAGATTGCAGAGCCGGGATGGATGTTCTGGTACCTGTCAGGTAAGTATTCAGTGTTAGGTATGAGGTTACATTTAGGAAGTGTAAAGATTACATTGAATCCTCCCTCTGGACTCCCCTCCACTCTTACACTTGTGTACCGGCTCCTCCCCTTCAGTCTTGCACAGGTGTACCGGCTCCTCCCCTTCAGTCTTGCACAGGTGTACCTGCTCCTCCCCTTCAGTCTTGCACAGGTGTACCGGCTCCTCCCCTTCAGTCTTGCACAGGTGTACCTGCTCCTCCCCTTCAGTCTTGCACAGGTGTACCTGCTCCTCCCCTTCAGTCTTGCACAGGTGTACCAGCTCCTCCCCTTCATTCTTGCACAGGTGTATTGGCTCCTCCCCTTCAGTCTTGCACAGGTGTACAGGCTCCTCCCCTTCAGTCTTGCACAGGTTTACCGGCTCCTCCCCTTCAGTCTTGCACAGGTGTACCTGCTCCTCCCCTTCAGTCTTGCACAGGTGTACCTGCTCCTCCCCTTCAGTCTTGCACAGGTGTACAGGCTCCTCCCCTTCAGTCTTGCACAGGTGTACCGGCTCCTCCCCTTCAGTCTTGCACAGGTGTACCAGCTCCTCCCCTTCAGTCTTGCACAGGTGTACCAGCTCCTCCCCTTCAGTCTTGCACAGGCGTACCAGCTCCTCCCCTTCAGTCTTGCACAGGTGCACCTGCTCCTCCCCTTCAGTCTTGCACATGTGTACGGCTCCTCCCCTTCAGTCTTAAACAGGTGTATCGGCTCCTCCCCTTCAGTCTTGCACAGATGTACTGGCTCCTCCCCTTCAGTCTTGCACAGTTGTACCGGCTCCTCCCCTTCAGTCTTACACAGTTGTATCAGCCCCTCCTCTGCAGTCTTGCACAGGTGTACCGGCTCCTCCCCTTCAGTCTTGCACAGGTGTACCGGCTCCTCCCCTTCAGTCTTGCACAGGTGTACCGGCTCCTCCCCTTCAGTCTTGCACAGGTGTACCTGCTCCTCCCCTTCAGTCTTGCACATGTGTACCGGCTCCTCCCCTTCAGTCTTAAACAGGTGTACCAGCTCCTCCCCTCCCCTTCAGTCTTGCACAGGTGTACCAGCTCCTCCCCTTCAATCTTGCACAGGTGTATCGGCTCCTCCCCTTCAGTCTTGCACAGGTGTACCAGCTCCTCCCCCCTTCAGTCTTAAACAGGTGTACCAGCTCCTCCCCTTCAGTCTTGCACAGGTGTACCAGGCTCCTCCCCTCAGTCTTAAACAGGTGTACAGGTTGTTGTTATTTTTTATTTTTTTTAAATATTATATAATAATATATTATGAGGAAATGATAATATTAATTATAATTTATTTGTTTCTATTAATATTTTATAGTCCATTATAAATATTATTATTATTATTTTTTTCTTGATGCTGTAAAATGATTCATAGAAAGAAATAATAATAATACATTATAGTGAAATAATAATACCAATTCCTTATAAAGTGTTTTTATTTCCTTTTTGTGGATCATTCTTTAGTCCAATAATAAACACCGAACATCGCAGCCATGACATCATAATAATTATTATTTTCCGCATTCAGACTGACCGCTGTGTTTTTGCGTAATTTATTCATTGCTTTTTGGAACCGCAAAATTGTTGTTTTTTTATCCTTGAAAAGCCGTCAGAAATCCGCGGAGGCCTATGGATCCCATGCCGCCATCCTCCGCCACTAATGAGAGAATCCGCGGTATTTAGAACGCTTTTGGCAGCGGTGCGTTTCAGTAAGTCCTCAGTCGGCGTAGGTAATGCGCCACGTTACACTCGGCGAGCACAAAGCTCTCTGGTGCTTCTAAATATTTTCAGGCTCCAGTGTACTGTAAATGTGTCTAATGCCGCGCCCCGCACGCCGTGCCGCGCTCCACCATTCATTTCACGCCTCTTTTCTAGCTGATTCCATGGAGGAGCAGCAGCGCCCCCTGCCGTCCGCTGTTGTACCTACATTGGGGGGGGGGGGGATTTACTAAAGCAGAAGAGCACGTTCCCTCGGCGAAGAGAATTTTCACTTAGCTTGGTGAATGAGCTGACACTCTACTGACCTCAATCTCATCATATGCAAGCGAATATCGTTCTTCTTTTTCATTCTACATGCGAGCGATCGGCTATCTGCGATTTGCAAAATGGATTTTCCCTTTAAGAATAATTCAATTTTCATGGGAAAAAAAAACAAAAAAAAACATAAAATTGTTATGCAATCTGCGTTGTAATTAAAAAATGACCTTTTCTTTTCCATCTGCAGCAAAATTCAATGGAATACGCCAACTTGGAGGTCGTTCTGTACACAGCTGGTGCAGGGAGCGTCCCCCCCCCCTAGAAATGTCATTTCCTGCTGTTGTGATTGGCGCACTGATTTTAGGATTTTAGGCATCCCCTGCAGTAGGGATTTCAGTTTTGGTGAGATAGTCCCCAAGGGTTAAATGCTTCCAAAAAGATGCAGACCCTGCCGCGTTCCTCACTGAGAGAGCACCAGGGCACAGGACACGGGGAAACAAATGGCTGTTCCTTCAGAGCAATGAAAGGTAGGAATCTGCTGCAAGGTTTTGTTTGGTACATAGGTCACCCAGAGAGGAGGGTTTCTTCTCAGAAAAAGTGGAGTTATTCTTTAACCCCTTGACGCCGAGCGTACGCAAATATGTGATCTCTCGTTGGCTGGGCCTTGATGCCGAGTGGCTGCATATTTGTGTACCATTTGAAAACACATATGCGCAGAGAGCGCGTGCCCTGTGTGTTCCCAGCACATATGTCGGTGCCTCACGGCAAGGTCCCAACCTCCCCTTGCGATTGAGACCTTTTCCGATCATGTGACCACTGTGACAGCAAATCACGGCAATCACATGACCCTAAAACCCCAACATCTGAAACCCCTTAAAGGCTGGGAGGCGCCGGCGTGAAGAGGTTAAGTAAGAATCACCCCACTGTGTTTTCTTCTGCCAATCCCTGGAAAGGGGCACCCAGAAGGTGGCTGGGGAGATGATAAATACCGGGGGGCCTGTTCAGACTTGTTCTTCTCCTGGGGCCACTGCCACCGGGATACAGCCTGAGTACTGGAGTTGCTGTTAGGTCTCCAAAATGTTGCATGCGAATCATTGCGATTGTTTCAACGGTTCAGCGTGGCATCATCTGTCGTGGTTGAAGATAGATCTAGGACATTGATGAAGCACCCTACCCTAGTTGGGCTAAATGTAACTTTTGACTCTACTGCACTGTATTTACCACGAGGAAAACAAGGCATTTGCCTTGGGCAGCTATTTTCAGGGGGGCCGGTGTTTGTCTTGGGTGGCATTTTTCAGGTGGGCCAGCGTTTGTCTTGGCCGGCATTTTTCTGGGGGGTAAACGCTGGTTGTCTGCTTGTCCTGCATGCCCTGTGCTCTACCTTCAGCCACCAATTCTTGTGTGGTGAAGTCGTGCCGGTGACCAAGAGCGGATGGCGCTGTGTATGAGGAGGCTCTGAGGGGCACTGGGGCTGGGCAGCAGGTGGAAGAGCGGAGTGAGAGGAGGTAGGGGAGCAGCCGTGAAGCTCTGGAAATGGAGCTGGGTGAGTGATATAGACAGCACTGATGGAGCAGAGGGTTGTGGGTGGGAACGAGGACATCCAAAAATGGTTTAGTCTTGGAGAGCTGTGATGGTGAGTCTCCCTCTCTTTCTCTCTGGGGGGGGGGGGGGGAGGGGGGAACAGGGGGTGATTTTCTGTACACAAAAA